GGATCTGATAGGCGCCGTCCCGGAAGCTCAGGTGGAAGACGTCGTAGGTGGAGCGGTTGGTGTCCAGCTGGTTGGATCCCCGGCGGTGGCAGACGAAGCCGTCCCGGCCGCGCAGCACCAGGATGGGTCGGTTGATGAGTTTGAGGATGAAGGACTCGTCTGCGCCTAAGGGAGAGGACGCTGTGAGCCGCTGCTGCCCCGCCACAGGCAGCACCGGGGGCCCAAGGACAGTACACCCCGGTTCTGACTCCTTCCCCGCCGACCCACGAGGGCGGGGCCGGGGTGCTCACCCACGAAGTCGCTGACGGCCGCCAGCTGCCCGTTCTTCTTCATGCACACGTAACGCCCATTGCTGGCTTTGAGCGCCACTCGCCGGCCGTGCCACTCCATTTCAAACATGGCCTGGGCGGAACTGGGGCGCGGGGGGGGGGGGGGGCAGACAAGGGTTCAGACAGCGAGGTGTGGTTTGGTCCCCCCATCCTCATGAGGTTCCCAGAAGCCTGCCCACCACAGAAATGGCCATGGCCAGTGGGAGCTGCTCCCCACCCCGGTGAGCATTTCCGTCTAGGCTCCCGTCCTCACAGCTAAGTTGTGCCCAGCGTGGCAGTGGTCACCAGGTCACCGGCGCGCCACTGCACACGCCCCCAGTCCCAGCACTCCAGGGCAGGGGCAGGGGCAGGGGCAGGGGCACATCTCTGAGTGCGAGGCCAGCCTGGTCTATATCGTGAGTTCCAAGGCTACACAGTGAACCCTGTCTCAAACAAAACAAAAAAGTGGGGGGGGGGGAGGCGGGGAGATTATAGTGACAGTCATGTTTATACACAGAGATGGTGATGGTGGCGGCGGCGGAGACAGGGGCAGGTGCACTCACACTTGAGTGGCTGTGGCCTGAATGCCCCCGTGAGTGACCAGGGTCCAGTAGCCACCAGTGCTGGAATAGAAAGTACATTTCTTTGTCTCCTGGTCAATTTGCATCAGGAAGGTCTCGTGGTCCAGTTCTTCATCCTGATTGGCTGAGACATTGATTCCTGGAGGGAGAAGACAGTGAAGCTCCTCACCCCTCCTGGCTGGCAAGAGATGGGGAAGCATGTTTTGGGAGAGCATGAAGCAGCGGCGGGAGGGAGCCTCAGTTAGTTAGAGCTCTCCAATCTGGAGATCTGGAAGCCAGGGCCATCCAGGTACCGTTGTAGCCCACACATGGCCCCAGCTCTCTCCTCCCTCCCTGGGATAGTTAGTACTTTTCGTGCTGGCAAAGCCTCTTTCTGCTGATCAGCAAGTAACCTGCTTGTCCCTGCTCCCCGATCCAGGATTTACAGTAGCTTCTATTTATAATTCACCCTTAAGCTGCTGAGGGGGAGTGTCTCTGACCTTCCCCCTGAGGTGACCTAAATCATGGCCAGAGACTAGGAACCAGCCTACCTCCCACACGTGTGTGTGGATGGTATCGTGGGAGCCCCAGGGGAAGACGAGCTGACCGGGGCCTGCCCAGTGTGTGTAAATGGGACAGACAACTGTCCCGGGTCCTGGGCAGCATACAGGCACTGAAGCTACTCGACGTTGTCCTAGAAGCTCTGGCCCCTCCCACGACTCTGAATAGTGTGGCAGATAGAGCCCACATGAGCCCCAGGGACTCAAGGTGGGACAAACAGAATGGGAGGGACAAAGCCTGAAGGTGGGGCCACATCTGGTCCAACCCTGCAGAAGAGGGGAACAACCAAACAGCAACTCCTAGTGGAGAGGCTGAGATCTACCACCTTTCAGGCAGCCTCACACTGGGGATCACTGCTTCCAGGTCCCAGGAAAGGGTCCAGCAGTTTGTAAGTTGTTTTATCTTTGTATGTTTGAGTGTTTTGTCTGTGTGTGTCTGCACCATTTGTGTGCAGTGCACCCAGAGGCCAGAAGAGGGCATCAGCTCTCCTGGCACTGGAGTTACAGACAGTTGTGAGCCGCCATGTGGGTACTGGGAATTGAACCTGGGTCCTCGGAAGAGCAGCCAGTGCTGTTAACCCCCGAGCCACCTCCCCAGCCCCAGGCCCAACAGTCTTTTCTTACTGTCCCCACCCCTGCCAGCTTCACCATTCCAGCAACAAATGGCTGGCACCGAGGATAGTCCTCAACCTCATGCACCAAGCCACAGGGTGGACAGCAGTCAGTGGGGATGTCTGTCTAACAAGGACGGTTGCTGTGGCCACAGGAAAAATGGCCTTTCAGCGGGGACAGTGGCAGGGGCAGAGGGCAGAACCAGGTCAATGGTCGTTAGCTGGGCAGGCCAACTAGCCCCAGCCATTGACTTCGGCCACTGCTACATACCCTTCCCGCAGGCCAAGGTGCTGTGTCCCTGCGTCACCCCACCTGCCTCTGCAGACAGAGTGCCACCAGGCATCTCCCTCCTCATAGTCACCTGCTCCTAGGGACCTGACCTGGCAGTGGGAGGGGCGCAGAATCCAGAACCATCTGGCTAGGATTCAGGAAGAGGATGTCAGTTTATCACTGGCCGAAGCAAATGTTCGTAGCTGGGTTGTACATCAGCCCTGCAGTGCCAATGAAGGCAGACGCAGGCTGCAGGCTGGCAGGGGCTGCTGAGGGCAGCAAAGGGGGAAAGTGCAGACTGGGCTCATAGACAGTTCCTGAGTAGGAGACATGTTTGGGGCTGTGTCTACAGGTGACCAGATCAAGCTGAGTGGCTACTCCACAGATGCTATGCCAGCCAGGACAGATAGGCCCAAACACACCTTTTCTGACTGTATTGAACCCAGTATCACTAACACCCTGACACACAAAGACCTGCCTTCTCCCCAACATCATTCCCAAGGCTGGACAGCTGGCAGGCATCACCAGCTGAGGAGGCAAAATTGAGTACTCAGGGCCTCTACTTCCAAAGTCCTTAGAGGGAGATCCCTCACCAAAGGAGTGGAATCCCACACTGGGTGTCAAAACCCTGAAAAGATCAGTGAGACAGCTTAGCAAGTTTGGGTGCTTGCTGTGAAAGCCTAGTGACCTAAGGTTGATCCCTGGGATCCATGTAAAGGTGGGGGGAGAAAAATGACTCCATAAAGTTGTCCACTGACCTCTACAAGGGTGTCATGGCTTACACATGCCCCCCTCCACACACACACACATCACACACACAATTTTCTTTAACTATTTTTTTTAAAGATTTAATATGTAGTGTTCTGTCTGCAGGCCAGAGGAGGGCACCAGATCTCATTACA